AAAAAAAAAAAAAAAAAAAGAAATATGAGGTAATCAGAAATTTAGTTACCCTTTCTGCACCCCCTCAAGTGTATTAAGCCAAAATGCTCTCCAGCAGAGGCAACAGCCTGTATTTCCTTGAAGCCCTGGCCTACAGTTCATCTCTTCCAGAAAGATTCTCCTAACGAATCTCACTCCATCTCCATCTGACTTGTATTTTTTGCATTCCTTTAGCCAGTACCCAATACTCAGTTGGGGGTTAATTTTGTATACGTTTTTACTTACTGCACACAGTTTTCTCATTTGCGGATTTTTTGTTTGTTTGTTTTTGTTTTTGTTTTGAGGCAGAGTCTCACTCACTCTGTCGCCCAGGCTGGAGTGCAATGGCGCGATCTTGGCTCACTGCAACCTCCACCTCCCGGGTTCAAGAGATTCCCCTGCCTCAGCCTCCCGAGTAGCTGGGATTACAGGCCTGTGCCGCCACGCCCGGCTAATTTTTGTATTTTTAGTAGAGATGGGTTTTCACCATGATGGCCAGACTGGTCTTGAACTCCTGGCCTCAAGTGATCTACCTGCCTCAGCCTCTCAAAGTTCTGGGATTACAGGCGTAAGCCACTGTGCCTAGCATTTTATGGATGTTTTCATGCCCTACCTTAATTACAAAGTCACTAAAGAGAAGGCTGCACTATGGTTTAGCTTACATCCCCCTTGCATATTTGGCACAGGGCTAGACATACAAAAGATAGCCATTGCAGAAATGCCAGCTAAAGAATGAATAGATGTTATAAGCTACAGTACAGGAAGATAGAGAATAGTTCTGTTTTTCAAAATTTGCATTATATTATGTTTAAATTGTTTTGAAATACTCAAAATAAAGATGTGTGACAGCTCCAAAACAAACAAAAAAGACAAGTTTAGACACTGCAGGGACACCCACAGAGTGGCCCCACTTGAGACTTGGCTGATTGAAAAGTATATAACCACTCATTATAGTCCACAACTCACACTCGTTAGAATGGCTGCTATCAAAGACAAACAGTGACTGGGTGCAGTGGTTCATGCCTGTAATCTCAGCACTTTGGAAGGCCGAGGCGGGTGGATCGCTTGAGGTCAGGAGTTCAGGACCAGCCTGGCCAATGTGCCAAAACCCCGTCTCTACCAAAAATACAAAAGTTAGCCAGACGTGGTGGCACACGCCTGTAATCCCAGCTACTTGGGAGGCTGAGGCATGAGAATCACTTGAACCCAGGGGGCAGAGGTTGCAGTGAGCTGAGATTGCACCGCTGCACTCCATCCTGGGTGACAGAACGAGACTCTGTCTCAAAACAAACAAACAAACAAAAAAGGCAAACAAACACACACAAAAAGAACAAGTGTTGGTGAGGATGTGGAGAAATGTGAACCCTTGTGCATTGCTGGTGGGAAAGAAAAATGGTACAGCCACTATGAAAAATAGTTCCGCGGCCGGGCGCGGTGGCTCAAGCCTGTAATCCCAGCACTTCG